CTGCCATGCTGCGGCTCAAGTTGATGATGTTGGTGCTGCCATGCTGCAGCGCATGTTGATGACGTCAGTGCTGCCATGCTGCGGCGCATGTTGACATCAGTGCTGCCGTGCTGCAGCTCACGTTGATGATGTCGGCGCTGCCATGCTGCAGCGCACGTTAATGATGTTTTTGAAGCAGACTGTATCATTTCTGTTTCACGCTTGTCAGAAGTTCATGCGTTCTGTTTGTCCGTACGCCCTTAAATTTCCTGTCTCACCCAGAACTTCTGATCTGCTCAAGATAATTTAACACAACACATCATACACACCAGCACTGAATGAAGCATCACGTTCACTTTCACTTTTCATCAACCGGCTCCCAGGTTTAGTTCTCACATCAAGGTCAAAGGTTATACAAGGGTTTTGCTGTAGATGGCTGTATTGTATTGTTTATATATGGACAAAAGGTCGATGTTTAGATGTATTGTTTCTGTAATGAGCTGAATGCTGTGTTCTTCTTGATAAATGTATAGAAACAGACGTAGACAGCCTGCTTGTTGTGGCTCAGTTTCTGACCCATTTCAGCCGTTCATCATCGTTTGTGACATTTAAAAAATGAACGTTCAGCGTTCTTTGATTTTAAAGCTGCTCTTTGTTCTAGTTTGGCCCTGATGACCAAAGTACGTATTCTTTAATAAGATTGTGTCAAACAGCTCGTCTGGGATTTTTTTAAAATATAAAATTATTTTTACATTTTTGTCATCCTTTTAAAAAAAATCTGCAACATTTCATTCAGTCATAAACAAACAAAACAAATGAGAAAGTAAATTACTATAATAAAAATGTGAAACCTGCGAGAACAGTGTGAAAAGTTTTGGTTCAGGTTTGAGTTGATCGGATTAAATTGTGACTTCAGCTCTTTTTGACGTGGCTGTGTGTGCGTTGTTCTGCAGGTGTACACCTACAAACAGAATGCTCTCACCAGGCAGAAGGTCCAGCCCATGCATCACAGCAGCATCACAGGGGTGGAGGACATGTCGGCGCTCGAAGACCTTCATGAAGGTGCCATCATGCACAACCTGTTCCAGCGGTACCAGCAGAGACACATCTACGTAAGTCCCCACTGACATCTGAATCGATGAGTCCAGCAGCTTCTGCACAGTTTCTGTAAACACAGGGAAACAACATGGTCCTGTTAGCAGGGTGATCCTGTTAGCTGTGTGATACTGTTAG